ACAAAAATCATAATTGTCGATTATTCCCTTGAAATTGTAATTGCGATAATTAATTAAGATTATCACAACTTACATTGAATGATGTTTATACCATTGTTTGATGCAACTGCATGCCGTATTTTTATATGAAAATAAACAAGCTGAAAACACTAACTGAAAAACCTTTAGTGCTTTTCTATAGAATTAAGCCTCAAATGTCAAATATACATCGGATTGGTTTCTTCTTTAAATTATAAAAAAAATAATGAATGGTATTATAATGTTATACTAAAACAATGGAAAAACCCTTAAGATAACGTGTAGAAAGAAAAAACCATATCTTAAGCGTGCAGAATAACATAAGTGGACTTTGAACGATTAATTGCCGCTTGGAACGATTACGTAATTGTGGCATCCATAATTGTGATCGCGATTAGAAATTCAATTAATTGTGCAGCCCTATGTTTCTCAGGAGATATTCATTCTCCTGTCAGGCTGTTATTGAAAATAAGAACCTGTTCTTAATTGACTTGCCGAGTTAAATAAAGGTTAAATAAATAAAAAAATAAGTTATTAGGAAGAAAACAGACCTTTGGCCTCTTGAAACTGTTAGGGCCTGCTTGAGCGTCCTCCGATGGATGTCTTTTACGCTGACCGTTGCCCAGACCGGTGTCACTCACTGCCTCGCCAGAGGCTGGAGCCGCGTTCAAGCCCAGAGGATCGGACTAAAACAATGGCAAAAACAGGACAGTGTTGTTATTGTTAACAAACTGTAAGTTATCTGTGGAAAACAAAATGTGCTTTTATGCATTTAGCGGATGCTTTTATCCCAAGCGACTTACAAAAGTCGCTGTAATAAGGAAAATATATATATTAGATGAAAATTTTTTACTCAACTTAAGTTAAAAAATTAAATGTTTACGCTGAAGCAGTAAAATTAGAAAAACAAATAAAACAAACATAAAAATATACTATAATTATACAAAAATATTAATTAATACTATAATAACACTGATAAACAAACCAAACAGCACATATGACAATGCGATTACTAAAATTAAAATGAAAAGTATCAATTTGAAAATATTTTAAAAAGCCAATTCGAAATATTAATACTATACATAAAAAAAATACTAAAATAACACAGATAGGCCCGGTTTCACAGACAGGGCTTAGGTTAAGCCAGGATTAGGCCATAGTTAATGTAGTTTACATTTAACATTTAAACTTTTAAACATTTAAAATTTAGTTTACATTTAAGTAGTTTTTAGAAATATGCCTTAGATAAAAAAAAATTACTGGTGTGCATCTTGAGACAAAACAATGAATCTGACATTTTAAGATCAGTCGGTGCAAGTTTCCTTCAGTTAAAACAGCCCAGACATGCATTTTAGTCTGGGACTAGGCTTAAGCCTCGTCTATGAAACCGGAGGATACAGTTTTATGTATATCAAAAAACCTGTATTAACAAAAAAATCCAAAGAACACAATGTAATAATTAAAACTTAAAATTTAAATGGAAAAAAAACTGTATATCCAATATCTAAAATAAACAAAAAAACAAACAGAACTGTATACCAATAAACACTGTTAAAGTGTTTCCCCTAAATGTTACTTACATCCACAATAAATAGATTTAGTTGGCTCTGAAGCCTGAACTTACAATGACATCATGCTGGCCCAGGACAGGCATCTCCCACAGCGACTGATTAGTGAATCGATTGAAGTAGTATGGCCGATTCTCCCTCTTACTCCAACATTTAGACCATCCAGCCTGAACCAGCTCATCTGTAAGTGAAACTAAAAATCAAACGCACAGGACACAGCAGCCCCAAACGGGAGCACTGAAGAACACGGGGAGTCCCATCAGTCATTTAAAGGGTTACTCCACCCCAAAATGAAAAGTTTGTCATTAATCACTTACCCCCATGTCGTTCCAAACCCGTAAAAGCTTTGTTCGTCTTCGGAACACAATTTAAGATATTTTGGATGAAAAGCGGGAGGCTTGTGACTGTCCCATTGACTGCCAAGTTAATAAAGTATGAAAGACATCGTCAAAATAGTCCATCTGCCATCAGCGGTTCAACCGTAACGTTATGAACCCACTGCTCCGGGTGTGTGTTCACAGGGTGTGTGTGTTCACTGCTGTGTGTGTGCGCACTTTGGATGGGTAAATGCAGAGCACTAATTCCTAGTATGGGTCACCATACTTGGCCACGTCACGTCATGTCACGTCATGTCATGAAGCGACAAGAATACTTTCTGTACGCGAAGAAATCAAAAATAACGACTTTATTCAACAATTTGTCTCCTCCGCGTCACCGTAGCGCCATTTTGGAGAGTATCCACTTTTCATCCAAAATATCTTAAATTGTGTTCCGAAGACCAACGAAGCTTTTACGGGTTTGGAATGACTTCATTTTGGGGCGGAGTAACCCTTTAAAGCCTGAGAGATACACACCTGGCAGCTCTTGGATGGGTTTGCTGGTTGAGGGTGATAAAGGAGCCGCCTGTGACGTGGACCCGGTGGGCGACATGACCATCGCCGAGTCTGCCTTTTCTGTTCCGTGGTTTTCACTCGTCATAGCTCCTCATTTGTCCTGTCTTAAGACAGAAAATATTGCATCTTTACAAAATGCAAGCATTGTAATTCTGAGAGCACGACATAGAGTGGTCACATTTAGCCTAAATGTGGTGTTTGGGGTCCCAGAGTCCATTTATAAAAAATAAAATAGGAATAAATTGCAAACCAATTGTCACATTATAAGCTTAGATTGCGATAAAACTTTCAATAATATAGGTATGAATTGGTCTGAAGAACATATTAAAATAATTTGAAGGCAATATATTATTATTCCAAAGTACTGGGGTCTCAGCTCCCCTAAAACAAAGTCAACAATACAAGCCGATTCAATTGGATTATATTTAGTAGGGATGCACCGATATGAAAATTTTGGCCGATACCGATATGGTGGCCGATATATCGTGCATCCCTAATATTTAGCTATTAATCCCAAAAGGCAATTTAGCTGTGGGCATACCAAAAAAACAGACACTGAAGCAGAAAACTGTAATCAAATAAATAGTTGAGTAAGAGGAAAGAAAATTACGACAACATTTTCTGTTTTGGGGTGAAATATGCCTTTAAGTCGGCTGAGGTGGATGTGAAAGAAAAACTTCTAGGAAAATAATGAAACTTAAACATAGGGCTGGACAATAATTCAATATCAATATGTATCGCAATATAATTTTTTTCAAAAACGGTGATATGATTTTTAAACACATTTCCGATATACATTACCAGTTTCCCAAACATTGATTTTGTTTGACTTCATTGAATAAACATGAGCACTGCACGTTTCAAAATCATAACACGGCGCGGGTGTTTTATATGAATGTATCTCTGAAGGGAATTGACTGTCTTTAGAAAAGTTTTGATGGCATTTTCATTTGATCTGATAAAGTAGCGTTCATGAGCGGAGCTGCTGTGATTACAGCCGTTACCGGAGAAACCGCTAGTTCTATCACTCTAAAAGCGCCTCCTGCTGGCAGACAATGAGTTTGCATTTTCAATAAGCCCGTCTCCAGCAACACTTCCAGTTTTTGTTGTTGTTCAATTTTTGTGTTTTCTGCAGCGACTCGGAGCACTTTTCATACCCTTTTTCCTGGCTGAAGCACATTTGTTTCAATCTATAAGAATAATCAGCCTACACTACCAGTTAAACGTTTTTGAACAGTAAGATTTTTAATGTTGTTTTTTTTATTTTTATTTTTTTAAGAATTCTCTTCTGCTCACCAAGGCTGCATTTATTTGATCCAAAGTACAGCAAAAACAATGAATGTTGAAATAATTTTACTATTTAAAATTGCTTTCTATTTGAATATATTTTAAAATGTAATTTATTCCTGTGATCATACATAGCTAAATTTTCAGCATCATTCCTCCAGTCTTCAGTGTCACATGATCTTCAGAAATCATTCTAATATGCTGATTTGCTGATTATCAATATTTAAAACAGTTGAGTACATTTTTTGATGAATAGAAAGATCCAAAGATCAGCATTTATCTGAAATAAAAAGCTTTTGTAACATTATACCCTATTCCATTCAGTATCATTTTTTGGGAAAGAAATTATAGAAATTAATACTTGTATTTAGCAAGGATGCTTAAAATTGATCAAAAGTGATGATAAAGGCATTTATAATGTTACAAAAGATTTCTATTTCAGATAAATAGTGTTCATATCGATATCGGAATTATATCGTATCGACCGAAATTAAGAAATATATCGTGATATCAATTTTGGCCATATCGTCCAGCCCTACTTAAACATAATGAAAGTGAAACTTTGGATCCTCCATTTGTTAAACATTCACTAATAGAGTTTAAAAGTGTTTCATTGTATTCATAAAATGGATTACCAAAGAGTAAAGTACTTTTAAAAAGCCAGCACACTCTCAAAAATCACAAGCTTGGCATTGAAAATGGTCAACATGTGACTGAAACGTTTGCCTTGTTTTTCTCAGTAAATTGCTTACAGTTTTCATCGGGCTTGGGATTTATTTATTTTTTTAAAGTACTTTACTCTTTGGGAAACTTTTTTTGGTCTACGCACCTCGGTTGGATTGTTTTGAAGGCACGGCGAGTCTCTGGCTGTTATTCAGAAAACTGAGCCATGACCTACCAAAAACTGAAGCAATATTTATGAATACGGTAATTATACTGTAAGATAATATATTTCAAAGCATAGTATTACTACACACAATTTACATTTACATTTAGTCATTTAGCAGACGCTTTTATCCAAAGCGACTTACAAATGAGGACAAAAGAAGCAATCAAAACTAACAAAAGAGCAACAATATATAAGTGCACATGACAAGTCTTGGTTAGCCTAACGCAGTACACGTAGCAAGGTGTGTATATATATATATATATATATATACACACATATATATTATATACACACACATACACACAAACAAAGAAAAACAAGTAGATAGAATAGAAAAAATAGAAAGCTAGTGTTTGTTTTTTGTTGTTTTTTTTAAATAAAGAACAAAAAAATGAAAAATAAATAGATAAAGTAGAATTATAATAGAATAGAAAGTGTTAGTTAGAGGGTCAAATAAAGGATAAATAGATACAATTGAAACTACATGAACTGCTCCACGATCAGTGCTCTAAAGCTTTGTACAATAAAGGAATGTACACATTTTAATTAAAACTTTACTATAGCCTACTAACAATAATTGTATTGACTATGGCATTTGCAAAAAGCTATGATTACCGTGGTATTATTTTGTATGGGATTTCCAGGGACCAAGTACCTTGCAAATAATATGTTAAAAGGTTATTACCCAGTCATCATAAGATACATATTCAGTATTATGCTGAAGTGATGGTAATACCATGTACGTGTGTAAAAAAAACTAAAAACTGAGGAACTTCCCAGAATACCATGGTACTGTGGTAAATGTAAGGAAATGGCATAACGCTTAAAATTAGTGGCCCGAGCTGACATGCGTTTAAATACTGACAAAAAGTAATTTATGGTTAAATCCCAGAAAAGACCCGAACACAGGGTTTTTCCACAGATAAACCTTAGAAAAAGTATTATGGCGGTAACGTGGTACGGTGATGGTATCGGAGACTAATACGCTTCTAGCACAGTATTACTGTGGGGTTTTTGTTTCGTAAACCCAGGCATCACACCATACATCTTGTATCTATTCTACGCGAATGTGTTTACTGCGTTTATCGTCGTTAATAAGAGCGCAAATGAGCGAAAGAAGGGCACGCATGCGCCTGCTACGCCGCCCACCCCAGATCGAGCCAAACCCCGAAAACAAACCCGAAGGAGGAGGAGAAAAACATCCAACAAAGAGCCACGGCAGCGCGAGCCGATGTGCGGGAGACTGCGGGTAAAATAAGACCAAGTGGCGGAGCATCTGGCTTCATCTGGGCACAGAAAGGACGGGGATACATAGGGCCATCACCACAGTGTGTCAAACAGCTCATTTATTGAGTTTAAACCCCGTCAGTCTTCGACCGTTACGACCACAAATTTTAGGCGCCACTTTTGCTTCGACAAAATGGCGCGCGGTCTCTCATACTAGGCGCCGCGCTCACTGCGCAGTATAAGGTCTGTTTACTCCGTGCGTTAGGCGCGTTTGCAGCAACCGCGGGGATATTATTGTGCCCCGTAGATTCCGCCACACACCTATGGGTCTAGTGCTGCTCTTCGACGACTGAATCCCTTACCTTGGAGAGGTTTGATGGGAGTCTTCAATAGGCTTTGCGCTATCCGGTTCGGACCCGCCTCCGCCTCTCCCTCCCCACCGACTCCGCCATCTTGTATCGGGCTCTCGGACGCGGTTAATGCGCATGCGCCGCTCCGCAGTGGAACGCGTCAAAGCCGCGCGGCCATTTGCAGAGAGGCGTTCATTCCGTCCGTCTGCTCTACCGGGAAATGAAACAAACATAAACAAATCATTTATCTTAGGAAACTATGTGAATGTTCTTCATTGTTGTCCTGAAAATGTTTGTACATTTACTTCAATAAAATGGCAGTGTCTATGTTTTTAATTTCTTTAGTCATTTGTAATAGTTTTGTTCCCCTCCAAAACAGGCGATTTCCATTTAGCTTTATTTCTGTTATACTTTTAGCAAATTAGGTACTTACACTTTTTAAAATTAAAAAGTTAGCTGCCAAGGCAACATTTCAGTTCAACATTTTCATGTAATATTTATTCCGTTACTAATAATTGTAGGCTATTAATATTTTTTAGCAAACACTTTTAGTTCAATTTACTTAATGGCATTAAAAATGTCTATGTTTTTAATTATAATTTAAATTATTATTATAAGAAACCACTTAACGTCATCTTTTATTTATATAGCACAAGTGCTTCACAAAATTAAAAATCAAAATACACACATAACTTACACACAAATAAAACAAACACTTGTAAGGGGTTCCCATAATAAAAATTTCCCTACTTCAAAAGTTTTAAAAATCTTATCAATATGCATCAAATAAAGGCTGTTTAAATGATTGTTTTCTTATGAACTTTACCATAATTCCACTTTTGAACATTTTTCTTATATCATTACTTAATTTGAACTATTGTGAATTGCAGTTTGAATTCAGCTCATTTCTTATTTGTACATCATGCCATTTGCACTACAGTACGCTGATCGTGTGTGCTTCACTGGCCATTTGCACTACAGTACGCTGATCATATATATATATATATACACTCTTAAAAATAAAGGTGCTTCAAAAGGTTCTTCACATGCAGCGATGCCATAGAAGAAGCATTTTTGGTTCCACAAAGAACCATCCAGTCAAAGTTATTTAAAGAACCATCTCTTTCTTACCTTTTTATAATCTGAAGAACCTTCTTTAGCCACAAAGAACCTTTTGTGAAACAGAAAGGTTCTTCAGATGTTAAAGCTTCTTTATGGAACCATTTAGACAAAAAGGTTCTTCTATGGCATCGTGAAGCACCTTTATTTTTAAGAGTGTAGCTTTATTATTCGTTTCAGTTTTAATAATTTTATAAAATGATTTTATTTTAATATTTTATTACTGTTAGCTGACAAGTCAGCATTTCTAATTTGCAAGTTTATAAAAAAATTGTCACTCAGAAATTGCTAATAAATTTCACAAAGTAACACTGAACTGAATGTGAAATCTGAAACATAAAAAACGTTCTATTTTCTTGTCAAATATACTCCAGTACTCTTTGTTTTATTTACAACTTTACTCTTTTTCAAACAGGTCTAAAAAAGAAAGTTTGATGTGCTCACCCCATAATTAGTGGCCAAAAGCTTGAAATAGCATTTTTTCTGAACTTGATTCTCCAAAGCAAGCTCCACATTGCTCCTCTGTGGTTTTAAGTCGAACCCATTTCTTGCATCATGTGATTCTATGAAAACATGCAACATGGGCTTCCAAGAAGTCATGAACTAATTTAAGGTTTAGTCTCCAAAAATTAAAGGGCAGAGTGCTGGAATCTGTTTAATGCAGCCTGAAGCCACCGCACTAGAAGTAATGTGAACTTCTGGTAATGCTGCAGCTTCGCAGTTTGTGCAGTGTAACAAAAATCAGATGCCGCAATTCTTTATTGCACGTTAATCTTTGGAAAATGTTTTCATTGCATGTTATTATGAATTACTGCCATCATTGTTGCTGCAAGGTCGAATGACGCGAGGCGAAGAGGAACACCCTTTCCCAACCTGCCCTTATAAATTCTGTCTGCCTATGAAAGGGGGACATAGTGAACCCTGACTAAAAGAGGAAGGAATAGAGCGAGGGTGCAAAAAAACATCTGCTTCTTCTGAGAGCTTATATCTGAGAAACACTCAAGTTACCCAGCCTGCATTTCCACACCGCTGTAAGTATTCGATCATTGTGAAAGGCATGGGGAGGGAAATATGGGAATAAGCCATATGCTTGCACAACATGTGCACAAAGTTTATGGTTTCATTTGGTGGCATCACTCAAAAGGGATAGAGTGCCTCCAGCACAAATGGAGGTAGGTTTATGTTTCTATGAGGCTACCCTCTTAAAAATAAAGGTGCTTCAAAGGTTCTTCAAGCGATGCCACAGAAGAACCATTTTTGGTTCCACAAAGAAGCATTCAGTCAAAGGTTCTTTAAAGAACCATCTCTTTCTTACCTTTTTATAATCTGAAGAACCTACTTTCGCCACAAAGAAGCTTTTGTGAAACAGAAAGGTTCTTCAGATGTTAAAGGTTCTTTATGGAACCATTTAGACAAAAAAGGTTCTTCTATGGCATTGTGAAGCACCTTTATTTTTAAGAGTGTAATATGGAAATTAGCATTTTTTATTTTGGCAATCAGACTGTATTCTGGATTAATACGTTTTTTACATTATTGGCTCATATGATTTATACAGTGTCCTTCATGAAGTGGTTCCTATTTAGAAAATCTGCATGTCAAAGAAGTAAAATATCATTTGTTTTCATATCTGTTTTTTAATAATGCCTATAAGGGGATAACTGTTTAAATTATGGATCACCACTAGTTAGTTTAAACAGCCGTGGTACATTTTATATCATATTGTTTTGCCCTTTGACCCAAATTCACATAGCAATATCTGAAATGTTCAGAATTTGCGATTATTGAAGTAATAATTAATATTATTTATTCATTCGGAATTATTTAAAATGTAAATGAAAATATTGTTTATTTATTATTTTATTTAAAACTAAATTTGCATAGTCACTGTGCAGTATTTGTGAACAAAACAAAATTTGTAATTATTATACATCAATGTTTAATTATTAATAATAATTACATGGTACTATAATATTATGTATTTATTCTAAATGGTTTAAAAATAAACTTAAAATTATTGTTTATTTAATAAATGTATTTATTTATTTTAAATGATTTAAAATTAAAATGATCATTTACTGGTATTTATTATTTTAATTATTTAAAAGTGTCATTTAAAATGACTGTTTATCTTTATTATTATTATTATACTGTTAAATCTAATTAGAATTATTATTCATTACATTTATTTATTTGTTTTTATTTATTTAAATGTATTCTTTAAAAGAACATTTACATACACCGTTTCTGTGCTTTCCCCAATGTGAACAAAACATATCTCGTCTAACATTGTTTTAGTTATTATTTTCTCGGGGTATTGACCTGGAGAAGCAAATGTGTTTGTGAACTGTAGTGACCCCAGTCCCTTCTCAAAGCAAACATCACCTTACGGCCGAAAACACTTGTGAGGATCATTCCAAACCTAAACAATGTCCACTAACATGCACCAGATCTCATGTCATGGCTATTTCTTGTTCCCCAACAAAACTTGATTTATCGCAAAAAACACTCATGTTTTACAAAGAACATGTTCATCCTTCCTGAAATGTAAAGACATGTGGCTTTCATTCAGCATCATTTTGTGTCAAAGGTCACCTAGGGTATTGCACACGGACAATGCGTTTGCAGAAAGACATTGTCTCAGAGGGGTAATTACCTAAAAAAGCTCCCATCCCGCAGGGTTTTATACAAAATAAATGAGGATTTATTTGTGAAATCTTCTTTGAAGCGGGGTAAATCAGCCGGACCCCGGGGTCAATGACCTTATAAAGCCCATTTGCGGGACGGTTTGTTTTGATCCTGTTGGTTATATCTGGGGGACTAAAGACAGCTGCCTCCAGCGTCACACACACATGCGACCTCCAAGAGAGCGACCTCATTCAAGCTGTTGGTCACTGCGTCTCTGTTATACTGAGCAGTGATATATTAAATGTTTAGATGTTCTATTTACTATTATTGATTTTCTCTGGCGAGTTATTATATGGAATATTAAATAGAATTTAATTAATATACACCATCATTACATTATTATTAAAAATTAAACAATATTATAATATAATATGTTTATTTTATTTAGATTTTTTCAATTAAATTTTTATTAATACATGTATTTATTTGTAATTATTTAGTTATATATTATATTTCAAATAAATGCAAAATTATAATTTATTGCATTTATTTATTTTTAATTATTAAAAAAATAGTGCATGATCATTTATTTATTAAAATTACTTATTTAACATGTAATTCATTACTTTATTTTAAATTAAATACATTTTTTTATTTATTTTAAGCTATTTAAAATTAAATGTAAATTCAGATTTTTTTTTTTACTAAGATTATTTATTTATTTAAAATTAAATTAAATGTATTTATTGCATTTAAATGTATTTATTTATTTACTAATTATTATTTAAAAGTACGTTTGCATAAGTAGTTGAAGTGCTATATCCCAGTGTAAGTAAAACTATTTTATTTTTGTTTCTACAATTCTGAATAATTTTATATAGTACTGGATAAATGCTTGCTATGTTACACGTTTACTGTTGATCATACTTTAGTGTAGTGATTTAAACAAACCTCAAAATGTAACTCATTCCAAACCATTTGAACGGTACGAATAAAAAGCACCAGAACAGCATTGCAACAACCCAGAATACTCAACTCACAGCAGCAACAATGCTCTCATTGGGGATGCTGTCCTCTCTCTCTCTCTCTCTCTCTCTCTCTCTGTCCTCTCTCGCTCTCTCTCTCTCTCTCTCTCTCTCTCTCTCTCTCATTCAGACGAGGCACACAGTCTCTCCTCCTCTGCACTATAAACACACACACACGCAGACACAGACCCTTCACACACACTGCTACAGAGACGAGAGACTTGGACTTCTTTCGCTGGATATTTTCTTACATACGCTTGAAAGGCAAGATCATTCTCTTATTTGCTTGCTGTTTGTATATTTAGCTGTCAGGACCTATTTTCCTGCTGCCGCACTGGAGACGCTCTGTGGTGCAGGAGAGTAAAGCTGCACCATCTGTGGACAGACCTAACTCTGATGTGAGCTTTAAAACTAATGCACGAGGAAGGGATTTTGGTGCACTATAGTTTTGGATTTGAATTGACTTACATTATTTTTATTTCATTTATTATTATTTTTAAAATAAGTTATTTGGATTTAAGTTGTATTATTTAAACTTTTAAATTTTTACCTCATTTTATTCCATTTAAATTAATATTTTACTTTATTAATTCATTCATAGCTATTGATTTATTATTAATTATTTACTTTATTAATTATCTTTAGTCAATTTTAGTCCATTATATAAACTTATGATCTGAAATTATTTTAAACTTGACATCTATTTCTTCTTATTCACCGATTATGTGTGTATTGAATAAAACGGACATGGAAATTGATAATATATATGAAACTTTTCAATATTTGACTTTTTTTTTAACCTATTTGATGATCGTGGACTGAAAGAAAAAAGTTGTCAAAAGATGTAGAATTTACTTTGAAACAATTTTCACTCAGAAATTAATAGTAAATTTCACAAATTAGTAGGCAACTACAAAAACACTAACACATTGAATTTTGAATTAGAAAAACTGGAATAATCTTTAACATACTTCAGTCATCTTTGTTTTATTTACAACTTTGAAAACTAATTTTACAGTGTGATTGACCCAAGCCTTCTCTCAACTGTCTCTTGCTTACTCTGTTAAATTAAGAAGGCTACTTGTTGTTTTTCAGCTCTACTGAGGAATCATGGGACTGCTGCAAGTCTCTGTCATCTTTCTTCTTTCTTTCATCACGATGACTTTAGCTGAGCCGCCTGGATGCAAGATCCGCATCACTGACAGAGGACTGGAGATGTGTAAGAAATCTGACAATAAGCTCAATATTCAGACTTAGAATGCAACTATCCTTTAGTAGCCTATAAAAGTCTCAGACTGGCCTCTTTTTGACGTTTTTACAGTGAAGGCCGAGACAAAGAGGTTTGTGGAAGAAGAGCTGAGTAACATCACCATGCCAGAGATGCGCGGTGAAGAGGGCCGCTTCCAGTACACCATCAAAGAGTATGTTTACTTCATCTGCTGTCACTGAGTCATGCTCCACACTGCGTCCTCGTGCGGTCATTCTCTCACAGACACCTGAAAATACACGTCAGGATTGAGCAACATTCAGAATAGAGTTAAGAATGCCTTTTAAATTAAAATTCAGTTCCTGATTTTGAACTGAGGACACAAAGACGATGCACGAGAACTGCAAGAATGTAAGGGAGTAGAATTATTTGAAACTATTTGAAAGTTATAGAAATTCAGATAACTAATTTGTAAATACAAAGGATAGAACGATAGATAGAATGATAGAACAACAGACAGACAGAGAGATAGATAGATAGATAGATAGATAGATAG